GCACCAGCAGTTAGCAAACTCTCCTGCCCCACCCCTGACGTCCCCCGACCCCACTCAGCTGGGTGTGAGGTAATGACCACGCGAGGCTTGGGAATATTGTTGAAAACTGAGATTTTAATTGAATCCCTTTTCCTGGCAGAGGACTCAGCCTGACTGAGTTCTCACCGTGGTGGCCAGAGGTGTGGATGGGAGCGGGTGGGGGTTTGGAGTGGGGTGCAGCTGTGTGGCTGCGGGGAGGCAGTGACTAGGAGGAAGGGCCCACTTTTCCTACCACCTTCCTTCTCTCAATGAAGAGGAAGAGCTTGAGATGGGTCATGTGGTCTAGTCCCCTGCCTCCAGGAACTGCCCAGGCAGGTGCATTTAACAGGCTGAAGTGGGTGCAGGGGGCTCTGATGTTGAAGTATGGACTGAGCTCTGCCACTTGAGAATTCCCAACTACTCTGTACCCTGATTTCCTCCCCCTGGAAAATCAAGGAACAGCCACCCACACAGGTAGTTGATATTATTGAGGTACCTATGGAAGCCATTGCACCCAGCACCTTCATCACTGCCACGAAGTTCTCTGCACTAACTCAGCCCTTAAGGCTGTGTGCTCAGTGTGAAGATTGCTGGCTCAGCTGTTCCTTAAACTCCATCCCTTTCCACCTCCTTGTTAGGTAAGCCAGATGTTTCTAACTGTGAACACACATAGCAGAGCCCACCCGGAGCTGGGGACACTGGCTGGGCCGCTGGGATGGCAGTGCGGGCAGGAAAGGCAAGCCTGAGTGTCTGGGGGAGGGGGCAGTGAGCCCACCGGGAGGAAAGCAGCACCACATTAACCTCACTCAGAGGTAGTCTTTACCTTTAAGGGAGGCAAGGTGAGGAAAATGGTGGCCACCAAGCAGGTGGGAGTGTTTCCAAACTGCCCAGTGAGGGCGTAGCGCCTGCCTCAGGCTGTGAGATGGAGGCAGTGACTGCCTGGCCTGGGAGGCAGTCAGTGCTTTCGCACACGGTAGTCATGGTTGTCATCAACCAGAGGTGGAAGAAGGTGATCGGAAAGCCGGACCGAGCCCTCCAGGTGTGTTCTCCTGCCCAGAAACATCTTCAGAGAAGATGAGGTAAACGGGGTAAGAGGACAAAGCCTGGAGTTGGACCTGAGTGTGAGCCTGGCTCTGCGGCTTATTAATATAAGGGTGTGACCTTAGACAAGTGGCTTCCCCGGGTGCCTCACTGACCTCACTCGCAAAGTGCAGGTAAGTGTAGGCACACTTCATAGGGCTCCTGGGAGGGCCCAATGGGCTAAGCATGTCACACCATGTCTGCACACAGCACCCATCCCTAAGCTGTTTTTTGTCATTTAGAGATTACTTCCTAGGCCTGGCCCAGTGCTAAGTTGGTCGGAGTATTGTCCTGAACACCAAAAGGTTGCAGGTTTGATACCTGGTGTGGGTGCAAATGTGAGGCAGCCGATCGATGTTTCTCCCCCTCTCTCTCTTTCTCTCCCCCTTCATCTCTCTCTAAAATCATTAAAACACACACACATATCCTTGGTTGAGAATTAAAAAAATATATTTCAGGGAAAATTGACAACTTATTTTATGACACCAGCTTACCCTAAATCAAACCCAGACAAAGATATTACAAAAAACTACAGACCAATATTCCTCATGAGCATAGACATAAAATTCCTCAACAGGGTATCAGCAAATTCAATCCTGGAATGTGTAAGGCAGGTAATACATCAAGACGAAGTGGGCTTTATTCCAGGCATGCAAGGCTGGTTCAGCGTTGGAAAGTCATTCAATGTGAGTCACCATATTAACAAACTGAAAGAGGGAATCCACATGATCATCTCAATAGATGCAGAAAAAGTATTTGACAAAATTCAACCTTCATTTATAATAAAAACTTATCAAACTAGGAGCAGAGATAGAACTTGTGGGGGGCTGTTTCTCTCTTTTCCATGTCCCGCATGGAAAAGGAAACAGTCCATTTGCTGAGTGGAGGAGCTGGGGATTAAGAAATTAAAGAAAGACCAAGATGCAGAAATAGATTTTAAGCTGGGGCCAGGTGGGCGCCATCCTCTCTGATGGAGAGGCGGCAAA